CTGCTCGAGTTTATCTCATATACAACGTGTTTACTAATCAACTTAGAATTTAGAAAAACATGTAAATAAGCAACTAATCACACTAACATTTGATGGATAAATTACCGAGGTATAAAACATATATGGCTTTTAATTATAAATCTGATTATATCAACGTTAATCAATTTAGCAATTAAATTAATAAAATCATAAACACGTGACATGAAAAATATTAGCACTAGTGCATAGAGCGTAACGCAACTTAAACTGAACCAAAACGGAATTAAAACGGAGATCTATTGCTGGGTATAGGTGGTGTATTTCTGGATTTGTTTTTCTAAAAGAAAACGGCCAAAATGCATGGGTCACGTGATGATGACGTCATCAAGCTGGCAAGACCAAACCTGGGCACGCATGGCTGCTCTATTAGCTTCGATCGCTAGCTCGCGCGTGCACGGGGAATAAGCGCCCACGACCATGATTCGACCAGGGAAAAGCACCGAGTGAAAGAGGAGGTGAAGGCAAGCTCACCTACGTGATTCGCGATAACGGGGAGAAGCTACCGCTGTTCTATTGCCCGATGGGGTGGTCGGCGTTTACCTGCAGGGGTTCGGCGGCGGCTTAAACAACACACAGAGCAAGAAAGAGAGAAAGGAAGATGCAGGGTGATCGACTGACGACTACCACGGGGAGACGCTCGGGTCTTCGGTGTTTACAGCAGCGGCGGTGAGTTCGTCTTCATGGCGAGATTCAAACGGCAGCAGCGACAGGCGAGGCTAGGGCAGCTCCTGGCGGCGTAGATGAAAAGGTACGGACACAGCAAGGGCTTCGGCTCTTATAGGGGGTAGCTGGGCGTGGCGATCGGATCACGCGAATCCCGCAGAAACGCGACTGCCGCGCAGATTCGGTCGGAGGTGTCCGAGCCGGACGCGGCTGACATGCGGGAATGGGCTGGCAGCGACTAGAGATGCAGGGTCCGCGCGGCAGTGAACATGCATGGCCGACAGCTACTTCCGAACTGCATGGAGAACGAATAGCAGGCCGACGCCCTTGTTCAGTACGTAAAGAGACTTATTAGCCTTGTTGAGTCAATGGGCAAGGCGGAGCGGATGTGATCTACCAGAGAGTGGCAATCGGTGGATGAAGACGTCGACCTCGTCGGGATGGCCTGCGGCTTGACGACGCACGAAGTCATGGCACCGCACTTGCTTCGACGACGAACCGCGACGACGGTGGCATGTATTCACGGACAAAGAGCTCCAGCGATGAGTAGAAGATCGATGACGTACAGCTCGACTGGGCGGCAACGGGCTTTCCTTGATGCGAAGCTCGTCAGCGGTTTGCGGACGGCGGCGAGGCAGCCGACGGCGGGCAAGGTTGCGGGTCCTAGCTCGGCGAGATCGCGATCGTGGCGGCGCGAAGCTAGGACAAAAATGGCGGCACATAACGTAGATAAAAAAAAGAGAGGCACGATTAGAGACCTCCAAGTTTTATAGGGCGTCAGGTGCGGAAACCAAGCCATAACCCACAAGATGGAGCGACGGTGGCAGGGGCTGCCATGAGACTAGAGTCCGATTGCTGCACGGGAGGTAGGAGAAGGATGCAGCTGACATGCGGGTCCGGGCGTAGCTAGCTGGGCTTGCGCAGCAGCTGCTGCTAGGCCACTTCGGCCAGCTGAAGGAAAAGGCCACTCGGGCCGAAAAGAGTAGAGGATGGAGGATTTCTCTTTTTATTTTATTTTCTTTTATTTTAAAGTCATTTTCAAATATTTTAGAACACAGTTTGAATCATTTTGTGTTTTTGTCAAAACCACACATTACAAAAATACAAATGCACCAGCATGTATGCACAACAATGTTGCTAAACCTTATGATAAATTTTAACTTAATAAAAATTATGATTTTACTATAGTCTCATGAGCACAAAAAAAAGTTTTTAAATCAATTTAACTCCACTACCGGAAACGTCAAATTTGCCTAGTGTTTTTATATTTGCCGAGTGTATTTTCTCGGGCACTCGGCGAACAAGTCCTTTGCCATGTGCTGCGCTAAAAACACTCGGGAAAAAAAACACTCGACAAAGAGAGGGTTTGCCGAGTGTAAAAAAAACACTCAGGAAAGAGGGTAGTTTGCCGAGTGTTTTATTTTTTTGTACTCGGCAAAGAAATAAAATATTTTTTCTGGGAAAGAAGGAGAGAAAAAAAAAATAAAAAAAACTTTGCCGAGTGTTCAGATCTAGGACACTCGGCAAAGAAATAAAATCTTTTTTCTGGGAAAGAAGGAGAGAAACAAAAAACTTTGCCGAGTGCCCAGATCTAGGACACTCGGCAAAGAAATAAAATCTTTTTTTCTAGAAAAGAAAGAGAAAAAAAATAAAAAAAAACTTTGTTGAGTGTCTAGATCTAAAACACTCGGCAAAGAAATAATTTTTTTTTTCTGAGAAATAAAAAGAAAAAAAATAAAAAAAATCCACTTTACCGAGTGTCCAGATCTGGGACACTCGGCAAAGGACAAAAATCCACTTAATAAACCGGCCCAGCGCCCCTCCCGAGCACCCCGCACTTCTCTTCCCAGCGCCCCTCCCTCTCAGCCTTGATCCGCCCACTCAGTCACTTTGCCTCGATCCGCCGAAGCTCAACGCCGGAGGCCCGGCGAAGGGCAAGGACAGTGGCGGCCGGGCTTCTTTTTCCTCCTTTCCTCTCTCCCGCGAAGCTCCTGTGCTGGTTCCGGCGTAATTCTTGGCGGGGGACCTCGGCCGGCAGCGCCTCCGGTACCGGGGCGGGGGGATCCTTCCTTCCCCCGTCAGGATCTGCTCTCCCCCGTCCAGATTTGCTCCTGTGTCTCCCCTGCGGGGCTCCTCTGCGCGCTCCGTGCGTTTGAGCCGAAGCGGGTCGGAGGTGGTGCTCTCCGGCTTTCACCGGCGTCGGGGGCGGCGGTCCGGTCCACGGCGCACTTCAGGCCTGGTGGGGCCGGGAACGGATGAGGCGGGGGCTATGCTGGCCCTCCTCAACCTAGGTGGAGGTTGGCTGCAGCCACGGTGCACGTCGATCTCTATCCTTGAACTTCGATTTGATTAGTAACTGCTGCCCTATTGGTGCTCGATGAAATGCTCTGCTGGTGTTCTGTCTTGGATGAATGATTATTGGTTTGCATCCACAGGGGCTGATTTCCTTGCTGTCCGGATAATTATTATTTTTCTTTAGAAAATAGGTTTACCGAGTGTATTTTGAAAAACACTTGGCAAACCAATTTTTTTTTGCCGAGTGTCAAATTTGACACTCTGCGCGATAAAAAAACACTCGGTAAATAGCTGTTTGCCGACACACAGATGTCGTGTGTCGTATGCCGAGTGTTACACTCGGTAAAGCAGTTGCCGAGTGTTTTTGGGACTTTGCCGAGTGCCCCTGGCACTCGGCAAAACTACTGCATCCCGTAGTGCCCTATTTCAAAAGGAGCAAATTTTAGGGTGTTACATCTTGCATTTTCTACATGCATAGCTTTTTCTATGCACTATTATCTATATACATAATAAAAATAATGTATCTATTAAATTCAAAACGTCTTATCGTTTCGAACGTGGTGACTAATAAACACCATGCAAACAAGTCTGTTATAATAGTATAGTCCTAAAAAACAATATATAATAGTATAATTATTACTTTGGCATGCAAACTGACACCAACTATGCGAGGCCTCAATGCTGCCCAAAAATGTTCTTCCACTGTTGTTGAAGAAAAATGAGAAGCTATCTTGGAACGGCAACAAATAACTAATTTTTAATTTTCGCGACATTTAAGCAGCTAACTACCTAGAAGGAGAGAAACAAATTGCATTGGCTGGATTCCTCTTATTTTATTTCCCTGGTGGAGAGCCGATATTTATAAACATTTTTCTGGCAACAATTGTTCACTAGTATAGAAGCCCATTTTTTTTTTGCTATTTTTTTTTCACTAGTGGTTTTATAAAATGTATAGATGCCAATAGAAATTAAACTGTGAGCCCATGACTATAAACCGCCATTGTAAATATATATTTACTAGCGGTATTCTTAAGTTTATTGCTAGTAAAAATCATATATTTACACTTGTAGTTCTCTTAAGGACGCCGCCAGTAGAAATGGGTTGTGTTTATTTTCTATCGTATACATAAAGAATTTGAAATAATTTAGAGATACATAAATCCTTTATTTTAGATCGATAAACACAAAAAATCAAAACGCTGCTGTATTAAGCAACATACACAAGCATGGCTACAGGTGAAGCATGGTCACGCCATGGGGATTGGCATGACTCAGCTACTGTTTCAGTGCTTCTGATTTTTATGGCGAGCTATTGCTGTGATGTGGTGACGTGCGACGAGCAACTAAACACGCCCATAGTATTAAAACTGAAGGAGAGACATCACCACCTCGGAATTCAGGAGGCTTTGATCTTGGATAGAAAGTTCCTGTGGCAGCATCGATCGGCGAGGCCGACATCGAGTTTACCTTCATCTTAACGCACCGGTCTTGCTCAAAGGTTTAATTTTCTAACCATTATATTTAGCACTACTTTTTGTTATGTATGTGCTAATTTGTGAGAAGAGCATACTTTATTTAATAGGACTAGAATCCGAGATATATACTATATCTATCATAATTTATATTCGAAATATAATTTTGCAAAGTCCTAATTTTTCAACAGTACTTCATTTCACTTGTGAGACTAGATTCCATTTCCATTATCAAATCGAGTAGTGGTTGCCGCGGCCGGCCGGCCGGCCCTTTCTTTAGCCGTTGCTTTACAAACTGACAATACACGCGCTGACGCGCACCATGAAGCCAGGATTATTGACGATATGGAAACAAACACCCGGTTTTGCTAGAGGCCACCAAGCAATGCCAAACTTCCAACACAAGGTGATGAAGGTGACAATCCCTTCTTGCTTGGACATCACCACCGATATAATCCCACATATAGCCAGGCACACTCTTGCATTGCATCCATAATCGCACATATAACGATCGAGGTCCTCTCATCGATCATGGCGGCCTCCTTCTTCCACTGCGCTCTCAACGGCGGCGAAGCAACGCGCACCGAGCCAGTACTATTAGTCCTCTCCGTGGTCCTCGCCTTGGCGTCCTCCGCCTCGGCCATCGATGGCCGCAACCTCACCGCCGGGTTCATCCAGGTGGAGCTCGCGGAGGGCAACTTCGTGGTGCAGAGCCCCTATGATGTGCCGGAGAACCAGCGCTACAGCTACGACAATGTCACCGGCGTGCGCACCTTCTTGGTCTACGCCAGCGACAAGCCCTTCAACACTGTCACCGGCACCAAGCCCCGCACCGAAGTTCGCCTCACCGTAAGCACCCAAGCAACCATGAGCTACCACTTCATCTGTTCCTTCTCCAATCTCAATGATGCATATATACGTGTGTTTGCACGCACCACGCAGTGCCACGACTACTCGTCGGGGGTGTGGCAGTTCGAGGGCTACGGCTACGTGCCGGCAGGGACCTCCGGCGCGTCGGTGATGCAGATCCACAACGAGGACGGCGGCGCGCACGCCACGACGCTGATGCTGTGGGTCTACAACGGCACGCTGCGGTACTACGACCGGCAGGTGGTGGAGGACGGCATCTATGACCGCTGGTTCCGCCTCAACGTAGTGCACGACGTCGGCGCGTCGACGGTCGCCGTGTACGTCGACGGCGCGCCCAGGCTGGCCGCCAACGTCAGGCCCAGCGCGTTGCACTACTTCAAGTTCGGGGTGTACATGGGGCATCACGACGTGTCGCCGCTCGTGGAGTCGCGCTGGAGGAACATCACCGTGTACACGAAACCCTATTAACTGGCTACTAGCCTTCCGCTAGTCAGTAGAGCAATCTGTATCCATTTGAGTTGAAATTTGAAACGGGTTCAAAAAATACTATAGTGCCGATCAAGCTATAGACAGCTAGTAGGAGCACTCGCTCTTTGATCCCTCGAAAAACTCATAATGAAAAATAATATGTTTTTGTCATTTGTTTTAGTTGAGACGATTATACTTTTGTCCCATGTGTGTCACTATTCTGCGGCTGTAGCTATCAAGCAGGGCTGCCTTAGGCCTTCCTTTTCTTTTGCGAGGCCTTCCACAGCGTGGAAGTGATGCCTAAAAATTCTAGGGCCCATATGCAAAAAAAAACTGGCATCACTCATGTATGCTGCATTGTGGGTTTTGATTCCTAGAGCCAAGACAATAAAAGAGTCATAGCGTAGAGGCTTATGTACCGTGTCTTTCTCACACTCTACTCTCTTTTGTATTTTTTAATAAACGGGCACCGATGCTTCTACTTGCTTCGCTCCCATTTCTCTGGAGCCGGCATCACATACTCAATATGTCTAGTGATGTTTTAAATCTTTTTTTAGGAATCAGGAGGGGCTTGCGCCCTACTAAAATTTATTGAAAAAAGTAAAACATAACTACAAGCGAGAGGAAAGCGAGGAGGGAAATTAAGAGACAAAGAAAGAAACTAAAATGATCAGTTTAATTACAATCTTTGCTCTAGTCATGTGCTAATACTTCGGAGAGATATCTCTTTTTTGAGCGTAGTATAACTAGGCCGAAGACATTTTTGAAGATTTGCTTACACCTTTCTGTTGTAGCTGCCTCTCCCTGAAAAGATTATATTGTTTCTTGTCGTCCAGATACTCAAGCAAAGAATGATGATGACCTCCATGAACAAGGGGACACCAAGTTGGGTTCTGAAAAAATGTAGAACTTGAAACGGTTCTAGATGCTGGGGGATATACCCAACCAGGTTCCAGCACGACCTTGCAAACTCACAGTGCAAGAAGAGATGGTCTCCTCCACTGCTTCATCATAAAGAATACAGTCATAAGATTGCAGGTGCATGGTCTTCCTCCTTAGAATGTTACAGGTACTTAGTGTGTAATGTGCAAGCAACTAGAAAAAGACCTTGTGTTTGTGTTGGCATGAAGATTTCTACATCCAACCAAAAACTGGGTGTCTGTCTTGAACCAGTGAGGTGTCCATAAGCTTTGCTACAAGAGAATCCTGGTCTTCCCCAAATGTAGGTCCATTCATCTTTAGCATTAGCAGGCTGAAAGTTGTGAACAACTTGATCCAGAATAAGAAACTGCTCAAAGGCTTCAGCTGATAAGGGAGGTTGAAGGTTAGTATGAGATAAGTTGCTGATTTGGCCCCTACAAGTGTCATGTTTGGCTTTTGGTGAAAGAATATAATTCTGGGAAGGTAAACTTGGGAATTCGACATGACAAGAGGTCATCCCAGAATAAGCATGAGGGACCACTCTGAATTTGAATTGAAGCCATTCCTATGAACTTATCTAGTAACTTAAGGATATCACACCACCAGAAGGAGCCCTTTTTTATATGGCTTGGGAGCTTCCCATTGCTATATTATTTCTCCCATATGATGTTGACCCAGGGGATATCTGATCGGTTGAAGAACTTGTGTAGTTTTTTGATCAGGAGGGCTTCATTCTAAGTCTTTAGATTTAGGACTCCTAGACCTCCTTCTGTCTTTGGTGTTGTGATCAGGGTCCATGCAGCTTTTGCATTGACTCATCTGATCCCCTGCATAAGCAGTTTTTTCTATACACGTCGATCTGTTCTATAATGGTGACATGAAGGGAGAAGGTGCTCATATAAAAGGTTGACAGTGCTGTGAAGACATAGTTTTTAAGTTGCAGTCGGCCAACTTGGGAAAGGAAAAGGGAGGTGGAAACCCGTCTTCTTTCACATCTGTTGACAATGGGCAAGAATTCATCAATTTTTGGCTTTATCAAACCAAGGGGAAGGCCGAGATAAGTGAAATAGGCTTCAACTTGAGCATCCAAATGTTCTAGCAAGGTGGAGTAGCTTTTCTTGAGATACATTTATTGGGACCATCATTGATTTTTGGAAGTTCACTTTTAGACCAGTGGATGCAGAGAAAGATCGAATGAAGAAGGGGCTTGAGGATAAAAATATGATGACCACAACCTCCCATAATAATAATAAATGTGTCATCTACGTATTGTAAGATTGGAAAATCGTTTGAGCATTGCGATGGAATTGGAAGCTTGAGAAGACCTAGATCCTTTGGCTAGCTTGTTCAAAATGGACCGGAGTAGATCTGTAGCCAACACAAAAAGCAGGGGGAGAGAGGGTCCTCTTGCCTAACCCCTCTCCTGCAATGAAGGACCTTCCTGGGAACACCATTAAGGAGTACAGAAGAGGTTACTGAGCTAATGATGGATTCCATCCAAGATATCCATTTGGGTCCAAAACCCTTTGCCTTCATTATCTCAATCATGGCCTTGTGTTCTAGTGCATTCTCTGTCTCAATAGTACTACCAATGAAGTATTTCATCATCCTCTTGCTTTGGTACCTATGTCCTTCCACTAAGAAGCGTCGATGACGCATGTACACTACCTTCTGGGGTCATTCTAGGAACTGAGCCACAGTGTCAATCAAGCATTCCGAGCATCATAGGAAACCTTTGATCTATCCTAAAAGGGAAAACTATATTGGTACTCACTGATGGTAACAAAAATATTGGCTTTGCATGTGAAGGTACTCTGCGCAAGCTCATCCCACATTTTAACACTATGCTTCCATAGTGTCTCCATTTCTTGCATCAACAATTCAAGAAAAATATCTATGTCGATGCCTGGTGCTTTCGGCCCTGATCTTAGAATGGTCAGCAACAAAAACTCTCTCTTTTGACACAACCATGTAGGAAGGTTGTAAATCGACAGTATAACTGGCCATGTGTTGTGTGTGCTGGTCCTATGACCAAGAGGATTCATTCCGCCAGTGCTCAAAGCGAACCTTACGTTTCTCAGATCGCCATGAAATTTTGGATACTTGGCGTCAAAATCCTTCCACTATTTTGCATCGGATGGGTGACATAGCACTCCATCGTCTTTCTTGCGCTCATTTGAAGCCCACCGTCGTAGGAGCTCTGAGCCACTTGGGTTTGAGAAAAAATGCCTCAAGCGATCGATTGGTAGATACCACATAACCAATGCGGGGATTCTTCTATGGCCAGTACCATCTACTGCTAAGGTAGTGGTTTCCTCATCAAGGTTCTGAGAACGACATTTTTCTTTCCACCCTTCTTTTTGTTGTTCCCATTTTTAGTACCCCTGTCTTCCTCACTACAGTTGTCGTTCCTTTTGTATCGACTAGCACCACAGGATGGACATTTTGTTAGGTCTTTAAACACCCCACGATAAAGGATACAATGGTTTGGACACACATGTATATCCTTTCCACACGCATCGTCAATGGACTGATAAGCTTCTTCGCTGGATATGTGTTGGCGGGCATAGAGCTTGGTTTAGGAAGCACACCAACAAAGAGAGTCAATAGGTCGTTGAAGCTCCTATTGGACTAGCCATCTTTAGCCTTCAAGATAAGCATGTCTAGCATAAAATATAGCAACGACCACCTTTTTTCACAACCCTTTGCCTCCTTGTACAAACGTTCTTTCCTTACCTTCTTTAGAGTCACCAATTTATTTAGCCCTTTCACAGCCTTCAATAGTAATTCCATCTCTACGTGGCATAACATGTGCTCTAGGAAGTCTTCCTCTTCTTGTTCTTCTTCTTTGTTGTCTTCACCATCATCCTCAGAACCACAACCTTTGCCACCACCACCTTCTGCAGCGTCATCTCCCGTACCATCATGCGTCATGACAAGATGTGTAGCGTCATCTTCCCTTACTTCTTGTGCAATCACTTTCCTGGTTGCATGCTTCTATACGTCTCTCACCATAATGATCATAAATCATGTAGTTCTCCATGAAACCCCTTCTTACTAAGTGTGATCTTCTCTTATTTGGATCCTGGCACATACTATATGGTTCCGACAATCATAACAGGGACAATATATATCCTTTGTCTGCTTAATCAAAGTGTGTCTTTTAGCGGCTTCAATAAAATCATTCACATCTTGTATGTAGGAAGCTTCATGTCTTCGTTTCATGTACATCCTTGACCTGTCCATATGTGGTCTTTGAAAAGAAAAGGTATATTTGCATCAAGATATTATTCACATATAATATGTTGATGGATTTGTCTATTTTTTGTATAAATATTATATTATTCTAGACCTAGAGTTTAAAAAATAATATAAAAAAGCTATGAAAAAATGACAGTAAATATACAAATTAACTAGAGTTCATGTGAGCCAAGTAAGTTGGGCAAAAAATCAGTCTAAATATCAAACATCATGCATGTCTAGATCTACATGAGAACAAAAAATTAGTGAAAGAAATGTATAGGTAAAGTTTGAAAAGAGTTTAGGGTGCCACAAACTCACCTCTAAAACCTAACTCCTTCAAAGGTTCAAAGGGCAAAACCTTCCCTCTCTATTTTTGCTATTTCTCGCCGCCACATGAGCTCAACAAGGGCATGTACACAACCCGTCGCGAGGAAGAAGTACTTGTACCAGTTTATTTTTAGGGGTGATCAACTAAGTGGACCATCCCTGTAAATATATAACAGATGCGGTTCTCTTAAAAATATTGTCCTTGATAATCGGCTTCTTCTAGAGAAAGTTCAGTAAAGACGACCGTCCTAAAAAATCGTATTTTCAAGGACGGTTCTCTTAGCTAAACCGTTCCTAGAAATGGATAGTTTCTAGAAGCGGTTTTCTTAAATGAACCACCCTTAAAAATTGATTTCTAGCAACTGTTGTATAGGTAAAGTGCCTGGCGCAATGGTTACATACGATTTTCTAAGTGGACTGCCTCTATTAGAGAAGGGGGACGTCTCTAAAAAATCATTTCTGAACATTTTTCAACTAGCATCTGTCCATCCTCTGAGCAGAGTATTTTT